GTAGCTTTGTACTTGAAGCCATTTTTCTGTGATTGGCTGACCCTCGCAAACACCAGGTAGTTTAGGCTTCTGGACTCTGAGATTAGATACCCGAGGTATCTTCTTCCTTTGGCTGAAGAATAGCAACACTGCCTGAAACACAGCTTCTGGAGGAGTGTTAAACCGAAGCTTTTGGCTCATAAAGATTACTTATTCACTCACCTTGTTATCTTTATTGTCTTTACTCAGGTTTAATATGACCATCTTGGTACTTTAGGTTCATTCTGTACACCACCCATACGTAATGAGACAAAACCAGGTTTAAAGTCATTACGATAATTAAAAGGAACAGCTAATACTGTGTGGGGAGAGGATGCTGGCTGAGAGAGAGCAAGAGAGTTGGAGGAGTTTCACTTGGTTCCACTGACCGGTCAGGAGAAGGTAATTGTTGACTGGTCTTCCTAAAACAAATTAGGCAAACAGGATCAGGCAGGTACACACACAGCTAGCAGGAGCAACAGTGGTATTCCTAATAATGTACTTACTGTGTGCATTTTAAACTCCTCATTTATCTTTAAATAAACAATAATTGTAATAGAACGGTCTGACTATAAGTAACTTTATTAGGATAACAAATTCTAATGTTTTTTATTACTACAAACTACCACAAAACACCCACCGTGTTAAGTACCTTAATTTCTCACCTTAGTATTGACTTGATGATATCAACTAATTTGATTATTCAGAGAAATTAAGTTCTTGTGTCCAAGTAAATATACTTCTTTGCATATGTTCTGCATTCTCTTATTCTACTTCACATCTATAATCCATTTCCTCCTCTTCTTTCTCCCTCCCTCCCTGGCCATCTCATCCCCACTCCTCCTTACTTACCCAGGGGGAGTTATCAGTGCAGCCGGGGTCATTAATTAGCACCGAACACAGTGACAAGTATTACATTGTTACAAATTGGTTAATTACACTGCGCACGAGTGTGTGCGTGTGTGAGAGAGAGTGAAAAGGGAGAGAGTTGGTGTCGGTTCGGGGAGTTTGTAGGTAAGCTCAGGCCGCGGCAATCAGCCTGAGGAGAAATGTGTGTAAACCAATGGAGGAAACC